TCGGGATACGCCCAGAGTCACGGAACGGATTAAGTTCGTATCCTGAGGTACCACTGTATGTGGATTTGGGGGAGAGTGAAGTACATTTGCTCCATCCTGCCTTTGCTATCCTTGTCTACCTCTGCAAATTTCTGCAGGAGAAACTGTTTTCTCTTGGGTAGGCTTCCTGTGTTGTTATGACCCTATTTCTGAAGTTCTAAACTGCATAGAGATCCTTGGATGGAGGGTGAGCAAACTTTGGGTCAAGGGCTTCATTCCAATGGGGGCCATGTAATGGATAGAATAATGCCAGGATTTGATGGGGCCAGGGCCAAAAGTAGATAGAGGTTCTTATTCTTTCTCTACCAACTTTTTTTTCCCTGTTTGTGAGATCCTGTTTTGTCCTCTCTCTTTCTCATTGTCACTCTGTTCTCTCTCTCTTTATCCTAAGCAGCAAGCTGATTGGATGGGGAAACAGAGTGAAGGTCAAAGTTTCTGCAGAACTCCTTTTGCAATTAGGATTGGGGGGGGGGGTGGCAGGTTGGCGACTCCTATCCCAGATGGATTGCAGAAGCTGCCTGCTGCAGACCTGCTTCCTCAGTAGGGCGAAAGAGAAGAGGGTCGATGAACGTGGGAAGGGTGAAGCTGGTGTGCTATTCTCCCCCCTCCCCAACATATTCATTAAGCTCATGAATGAAATGCTGGAAATGGGACCTCTGTTCTTTATAGGAGACCCCTTTGCCTCTGATCCAGCTTCCTGGATATTTTGGGGGGGGGTTAAATGTTAGGAGCTTTTAGAGTGATTTCATTTGAATTAAGCAAATGTGGCGAAGGACGATGCCCAGTGTTTTTATGCTTTTGCTCAGACAACCTCAAGATCTCAGACTTTGGGCTAGCTACTGTATTTAAATACAACGGCTCTGAGCGATTGTTGAACAAGATATGTGGCACGCTTCCATACCTGGCCCCAGAAGTCCTAAAAAGGAAAGAATTCCATGCCGAGCCCGTTGATGTGTGGTCATGTGGAATAGTGCTTACTGCTATGTTAGCAGGAGGTAAGAGCTATTCATGGTGTAATTTATTTTCCTAACAGGAACTTTTCTGACAAAATAAATAGCAGGTCCCTATGGGTTGGGAGTATGGATTAATTGTGAATCTTCGGGGTCACCTTTTGTGTTTTTCTTAAACGCTGACAAATTTTCCTCAAAAATGTGGTTTCCTTTCCTGCAGAATTGCCCTGGGACCAGCCTGTTGATACTTGTCAAGAATATTGTGACTGGAAAGAAAGAAAGACATATCTTTCCCCATGGAAGAAGATTGATTCATTGCCACTAGGTACCTCAGCTGACTGAATAACCTTGTCTCTAAACTAGGACATTATCTCAGACTTCTCCCTCTCTTATTTTATTTATTTATTTATTATTAAATGTATATGCTACCCATCTCCCCCAGAGGGTGACTCTGGGTGGCTTACAATTAAAAACCAAGACAATAAAATGATAAAAATATAAATACTCCCCAATTACAACACAAATAACAAATTTATAAAAACAATATACAAATCAGGAAGATGGGGGAAGCAGTATCAGTCATCCCATAAGCCAGCTCCAGCAAGGCGAGCCCCCATCAGGCCCCCAGGTCATCCGGCATAGCCATGTTTTTACACCTTTTTGGAAGGCCAGGAGGGTGGAGGCAGCCTGCACCTCAACTGGCAAACTGTTCCATACAGTGGGGGCCATGGCAGAAAAGGGCCTCTTCCTAGACCCCCGCCAGCCAAAATTCCTTGACTGGTGGGGTCCACAACATGCCCTTTCTGCTGGACTGAGTGGGCCGGGCAGATATAAACAGGGCAAGATGGCTCAGATAACTTGGTCTTGGGCCATGAAGGGCTTTAAAGGTGATAACCAACACCTTGAATTGGACCCGGGAGCAAACTGGCAACCATCGCAGCTCACATAACAGAGGTATTGTTATGTAATGTCTTGATATGTAATGTCCTTTGGAAGATGCTACCTGTACCCAATAAAAATACTGCTTTATGTTTTATGAACTCAGATTCATCATCCACAGAACATTGCAGATCCAATTTTAAAAGGCTTTGTTTGAAGATGTTTTGCAATAGAAAATAACTTCACATTTCTGAAGAGAGCATCTTAATTGAATTTGATTTTGTATGATCGAATTCTCTGTTTTTTTGCAGCTTTACTCCTCAAAATATTAAATGAAAACCCCTCATCCAGGCTTACTATTGCAGATATTAAAAAAGACAGATGGTATACAAAACCTTTAAGGAAAGGTGAGTGCATTTTACATGCCTATTAGTGTAACATATCACTCCATTTTTAAACCTTATGGGTTGTAGAGTTTTGTGGCTTTACTATTTTCATGTATGCCACAGAAGGAGCAAGTCATACTTCAAAAAGTTTTATATTTCAATGAACCACCAATGAATAATAATTAAGAGTTGTTGCTGAGATTTCTTTTTCAATCTGGTTTTCACTGTCACTATTTTCGTAGGATGGTGACTCAGGCTCATATTCTCAAATACACCCATATTTGGCTTGTTGAAATAGTCCCAGGCATAAAGGAGGGATGTGAAACTTCCATCTTCACTGTTGAACTACATTTCCCAGCATCACTCATCTTCAGTGTGATAGCTAAGGCTGCTGGGTATATAGTTCAGCACCATCTGGAAGGTCCAACATTGATTCCCCACCTTGGTAAATACTTCTTCTCATGGTCCCCCCCCCCACGAGTAATTTGTGCCATCTGAATGACATTAAGATATGAAAAGTAGGTCTTGATCTACTTACTCTTTATCTAAGGTTTTATTAGCTTTAGCAACAGAAAGGGAGAATCAGCCAAAGAAATCTGCAGACAATATGATAGTTCTCTCATTTTCATTCGGGGAATTTTACATTTAGTAAGTCTATATTTATTTTTTCTGATCCTTGAGTAGAAACATGAATATAAGTTGGCCAACACCCCTAGAGAGCTGCAGGCTGTAGCCTAGCCTTGAAAGGCTTAATGTAACTTAACTTGCCTTTGTTTGCATCCTAATCTCTGTCTTTGTAGGTATAAAGCGGTCTCGGGGCTCTTCAGGAGGACCTTCTGATTCTCCAGGAGGTTTTTCTAAACACATTAGATCGGATATGGACTTCTCTCCAGTAAAAGATGCACACAGGTGAAGATACCCTTGTGTGTGTAGTGTCTAGTAATCTATTTAACTTCATAGCAACAGCACTGTTTCTGTACATTTTTGTGGTGTGCTTATGGAGTTCTTTTCATTAGTTCCCTAAGGTACGTGTAGGCAACAGAAACATGGCTATCATGAATATGGCAAGCAGATGGAATTTTGGACATTCTTGAGGAGAGGACTGTAGCTCAGATTTGCAGGTTCACTTCCTAGGATCTCCTAGTTGAGGTTGAAAATGGCCAGCCAGAAATCCTGCAGAGGTGCTGCTTATCAGTGTTGATGGTCCTAGGCTAGGTATACCAATAATGTGTATCAGCAGAAGGCCACCAGCTTTTCCACGTTCTGATGCACTTGCACCATCAGGATGTTCTACCTGTCTCAGCTTCGGAAAGCCTTCCTTTCTTCCTGTCTCTATCAAACTGAAAATGCTCCTTTTGCATAATAGGCTGGTCTGAATTAATCCTCCATTTGGGATGTCCCTCTGTGCTTGTTGGATATTTTGATTGGTTAGCGGTGGTCTCGCATCAGTATCCTATTGGAATATGCTCAGACCTGGAATCTTGTCGGGGAAAATGGTGGCATAAGTTGTATGTCAGGATTGGCTTTAATAGTCAGGGGCAAATGCAATCATAAAGGCTCATACAGTTCAGCGAAGGCAACAGTGTGCTTTCTTAAAGTATGGTACTAGAAAACTTGATGCACTCTAACGGATGACATTTGTTTTTGCTGTGACAGTGAGGAGAAAAAGACCTGTTCCAATTCCCAGCCAGAACCAAGAACGGGCCTCTCCTTGTGGGACAGCAGTGCAGGCAGTATCGAGAAATTGGTACAAGGGATTAGCTTCTCTCAACCAGCCTGCCCTGAGCATATGCTACTAAACAGCCAATTATTAGGCACGCCAGGTTCATCACAGGTAACGCTGCCCAATGGAACTTTGGGCTTTTCTTCATTCTCAATGTTGTGTTTTCCGTTCAGATCCCATCTTATGTAGTTTTTGGTTTGGAATTTAATAATTTTGAAGATTTTTTTTCATAGTAGAACTAAAGCAGGGTTCCTCAACCTTGGCAACTTTAAGACGGGTGGACTTCAACTCCCAGAATTCCCC